TGCCCGAGCCCCCAGGCTCCTCCCCCTCCAGAAACCTCCGCGCGCCGGAAAGTCAGCGTCAGCGCTTTCTTCTTGCACGTTTTGCACTTCAGGTGCCTTCGAGCCCCAACCCCCCTCCCCCGGCTGTGGCAAGCGGGGAAACTGCCCCGGACTCAGGAAAAAGGAACCCCTGGCCCGCCATCGCTCTGAGGAATCGTAGGGCGGCGAGCCCCCAGGCTCCTCCCCCTCCAGAAACCTCCGCGCGCCGGAAAGTCAGCGTCAGCGCTTTCTTCTTGCACGTTTTGCACTTCAGGTGCCTTCGAGCCCCAACCCCCCTCCCCCGGCTGTGGCAAGCGGGGAAACTGCCCCGGACTCAGGAAAAAGGAACCCCTGGCCCGCCATCGCTCTGAGGAATCGTAGGGCGGCGATGGCAGGCGTGGGGCGGAGGGGTGAAAGGAAGGGGCTGTCCTTGAAAAGGAAAAACTTATTCCCTCCCCCCACCCCCAGTCGGAGCGACACGGCTGCCGACGTCATCTTACGTCCCCTAGGACCGGGCCCCTGAGAGCCGTTCGTCTGGCACTGTGCGTGGTTTTTTGCAGCGCCTTAGCCTGCCTCCTTCCTGCCAGCGTTGTGCTCTTGCCTCTTGGAAGCTTTACACTTACACACGCGTACGCACGGAGCTTTCCTTACCACTCTTCTTTGGAAATAAGCTATTTTCTCTTCCTTCACTACGTTCCCCTCCCCTTCCTCCCACCCGACTGGCTGCTGTGGGGGATCTGGCAGAGCCAGAGATGTCTGCGCAGGGATCCGGCCACCATCCACGGCCAGATCGGTATCCTGCCTTTGGGGAGGAAGGGAGCAGATCTGGGACTGTGCACGCACAGGGGGCCGAGAGAGCTCCCTTCCCTGTTGGGTTTGGCTTTGGAATCTCGCCCACCACCGACATGGACTTTCGACCGAGGAAAGGACCCAGCCCGCTGGGATGTGACGAGGTTCCGAGCAGCAATTTTCTACCTTCCTTTTTTTTTTTTTTTAAATCTCTTAAAGTGGTTTTAAAGTGCCACATCTGATCTGAGTCCTGACTCTGGTGGACCTAAAACACCCCGTGTTTCTGGGGTAAGGGGGGTTTGGTGCGGTTTGTCCTCTCCCCCCCGCCCCTGCGGGGCAGTCTCGATGCGGAGGGGCAGACTCAGGCAGATGCCCCCGCCGCTTGTTTGAGCGCCGTGTCCAGGATGGACGCGGGGTAGGGAGGAAAGGGGGAGTAGGGGTAACAGTGCCTAAGAATAAGCTGTGCCTGGGAAAAGCAGCGTCTCTCGGCCCATCTTTTTCTGCATGGGAAATGTGGCTCACTATCTGTCCCGGTGCTACCCGCATGCGGAGCTCAGCTCCCCGGGTGCGGAGGGAGAAGATGGGGGACTCCTGTCCGCCCAGGACGAGGTTTTAAATTTTTTTTTTTAACGTTTTTATAAAGGAAAAAAAAAAAAACCTGCTCCCGTGGCAACGAGAGCACCCGGAAGTGCCTGTGACAACGCGCCCATTTGCACTAAGCCAAACTGCACAAAGAGTTTTCTTTATTCTTTTCTTTGTGTGTGTGTTTTTTTTAATAAAATATATTAAAGGTTGTATTTTAAATATTCCCTCCCAGGGCGAGAGAGAGAGAGAGAGATGGAGAAACCCCCCCATCTCCTTGTTTTCCAAAAGCTCACCTCGAAGTTGTTTTTGTGGGGACTACATTTCCCAGAATCCTTTCTCCCATCACCACTGCCCCACTTCCTTTGGCCACCCTGTTGATAGGCAAGCAGCAGTGGTTGCTGGGAAATGTAGTTTTCCCTTTGCACATGTTTTCCTTGGCCCTGCAGTCTTGATTGTTAATGTCAGAGAATCGCAAAAAAATCCATGCTGGATGCAATGACAGTCTGTGTGTGCGCCCGTGTGGTGTGCGTGCGCGTGTGTGCTTACAAAGCCGTAGTTTGAAAGATTGTGGGGGTTCTCTCCCCCCCCCTCAGTTTTTGTAGCCTAACTCAGTTCTCTGTATGTTGTTGTTGTTGGTTCGTTTGTAAACAAAACCAATTGTCTGTGCACCGAGAGGCCTGATTAGGGTGGATTTGAATGGGAGCTGCTCCCTCTTCTGAATGTATAACGAATCCACCCGCCCAAATGACCACTCTGGCCGTAAACTTCTGCACCAGCAGAGACGTGTAGCAGAGCCCGGTGCGGCCGGCGCTTGGCTTGTGACTGGCACTGGCTGAGTGCCCGCCGCCAGGGCAAGGCGTTCGGGAAGCCTGCTTTCGGCTCGCTCTTTCTCCTGCTTTGCCTCCGTTTTTGGGCTTCCAGTCTGAGCTGCCTTCCTGGGCTCTGATTTTCAGAGGGGCAGGTGCTCCGTGCTGAAAACCCAGGCCTCCCTGAAGGCAGCTGACGGGTAGAGAAGGTAAAGGTTAACCAGTTAACCGGTGAGCCTCATTGCTTACCAGGTGAGGCTTACCTGTTACGGTTAACCAGTAGGGGTTGGAGCAGCCCCCCGTCCATCACCCCATTCCTTGGGGGCAATCCAGCCTCTCCACAGCAGCCTCCCCCCTTAACTGCTTACATTTAAATGTTTTAATTGGTAAATCAATTAAATGGGATTTTACTTCCCTCCTCTAGGTCCCTCGCCGCTCTAGGTTTTGAATCTTTCTCCCAATGGACTCTTCCTGGTATTTTAACAATAAGTAATTGGACAGTTTCCCCTTGGGTACAATTCATTTCACCTGGCCGGGGCAGGGGAAAAGGGGCTTTTTCACACTTTGGCAGGGATCAGATTCCCCCTATTGATTTCATCCACCCCCCTCTCCACCTCCACTCCATGCACCATCTGCCCTCCCCTCCCTGCGTCCTGTCCGGGGATCGTCATCACTAGCCCTTGGTGCGAGGCTGTGGGCGAATACCTGATGGATTAAATGCAGGAACTTTGTGCAATGTAAAAAAACATGTTTGCTCCCTCCTCCCCCCAGCTTGCCCTCCCCCCAAGTCCCTGCCCTGGCTGCCCCGCTGTAGAAATGGGGGCCTGGAGGCCCTGCCGAAACGCCGAGTCTCTCCCAGTCTCGAAACAGAGCGACGCGAAGGGACGTTGCCCCTTTCTGCTCAGGGCTCCGATGGCTGGAGGCTGCCCTTCCCCTCCTCCCCTTCCCCCCGCGTGGCGCTGCAGAGTTTGTGCCAAGCTGGGGGTTGGTTCTAGCCTGGTGTTGAGCCAAACCTGCCCCGCTGGGACAGGGGACAAAGTGGGTGTCCCCTGGGGTGACGGGTGGTTTCAAAGTCTCCTCTCCT